CCCGCCAAACAACAATGATGGCTGCAACCAAAAAAAAAAATGGCCGGGCGTTGTGGTGGGTGCCTGTAGTCCCAGTTACTTGGGAGGCTGAGGCAGGATACTCGCTTGAACCCAGGAGTTGGAGGTTGCTGTGAGCTGTGATGCCATAGCACTCTACCCAGGGGGATAGCTTGAGGCTCCGTCTAAAAAAAAAAGAAAAAAAGAAAAACACTAGAGGTAATGCTTTCTCTGAAATGGAAACATAGTGGGAATAGGATTGAAGTTCAAGAATGGAAAGTAACTCAGGCCATTTGATGTTTCCAGTTTTCTCCTTCATTAATTGATTAGAAGATGTAAATATATTTTGGCCTACTTCAGTGTATCTGACTATTTAAAAATCTTAATTCTTTTTAAAATTAAGCTAAATGTTAGTATGAACGATAGAAGCTTTCAGACTAATCAGACATGAAAAAGACAAATGGCATCACTCCATTTTTTAATGAGCTATGGAAAGTCCTTACCATATAGTTCAGCAAATCCATTCATAGGCACACGGGACGTGCCAGTGACAAACTGAAGTAATCTGATTCTTTTTTCTGAATCCATCATTAAAACAGCCTAAAGAAGATAAAAACATCATTAGGGAACATGACTGCACTAAAAGGTAAAAAAATTATACTGAAAAATATGCTATCAGAATTTAGTTAGAGCATTAATAAACACGTATTAAATTTACATGTTTCTTTTAGCTGAATTTGCATTTATGGATGGTTTATAAAGTTCTTGAAAAGTTTACTTATAAGGCTCCATGGCAACTCTTTAGAATGGAATTATAACCTACTGAAGTAACAAAATTTCTATTCTCATGTGACTTGTGGCTTTTTAAAAATTATATTTAGCAATATTATTGAATGGCATGCCCATTTCTCTATGAGAAAATTTAAAGGAACTATGTAAAGATACCCTGTAGGTTATTTCAAGTTCTCTTAGGATACCTACTTTAATAGAGAACTAGGTACCTATCTCAGCCTATCATCAGCATTTACTACATTTTGAACACTTAACTTATTTATAAATATTATAGAAGTTAGATCATACCCAGGAGGTATGTATATATAGAAAACAAAATAAAAAATTTGCTGGTATATATTTTTCTTTTCTTTTCTTTTTGGCCAGGGCTGGGTTTGAACCCACCACCTCTGGCATATGGGGCCAGCGCCCTACCCCTTTGAGCCACAGGCGCCGCCCTGGGCTATATTTTTCTGTATTACCTATATATAATCCACGGGTACAGTTAAGAATGGACTTAAATATGACTGAATCTGTCAAAAAGAAGGGATGAAAATATAAATCGTAAGTTACCTTCCAGAACCACTGTATGACCTGATGATTCACACTGTAGCCATTTTTATACTTTGTATGTTCTCTCCAGTCGTTCACATCAACATCTCCCAATCCGCACATAAGAAGCTACATCATGAGAAATGTCAAACTGTGAGCAAGAAAAGTACTTGCAAGAGGGTACAAAATTCCTGTTTTCAAATAAAAATAATACTTGCCTCTAGTTCATTTTCATCAAAAATTTTGATGAGATCCTGTGGTATTAGTTCAAAAAATCCCTGGAAGAAAAAAAATTTTTTTCTTAAAAACCTGGTTAGCAGGGTCATTTCCCCCTTATCCGGGGTTGGCTGATTCCTCTACAGCAGCAGTTCACAACCTGTGTGTCGCGACCCACAGGCACTGTATTAAAGGGCTGCGGCATTAGGAAGGTTGAGAACCGCTGCTCTACACCTTCCTCGTCCCTTCCACTGCCTCTTCTAGATCTCTCTCTCTGCTGGTATTTCACTTTTTACATCTGTGTCCCTCGAAAGCAGGGCTTCTATCTGCTTTTGCCTAGCACAGCACCACACACATAGGCTGCAGTACTGAATAAATAAAAGCATGTGATACATACTTAACAGAAGAATTTATGTTAGCTTAAGAAATGAGTGCTCTGACAACAGCTTGTATATCCATCGACTGGGGAGGTTTAAGTAACTTCTGAATTCATATTATGAATAAAACACAGCAACAAAGAAAGCTAGATATATTCACAAGATCTCTAATGAATATCTGAAAAGGGAAGTAAGCTAGTCACAAAACAACATATAGGATGCAATTTCAATAAATAATATGTTACTCTCTCCCCACAGCATTCTTATCCCTTTGCTCTCCCTAAGGCTACTGAAGGTGAGGGAGTGGGATTGGTAAAGGTGGGGGGAATTTGGGGACTGAATGTTTATTTTCTAGACTTCTTGAAAGATTGAATTTTAACAATGAGCATCCAAAATATTCATGCACTATTTTGTTGACATAAAATATAACTTAGAAAGGTTTTATAAAGCAAGCTGTATATTTGTTTTTCTCAGCTGTGATGAAGCCTTATAGATTTACTCTGAAATTATTGAAAACAAAAGAAAATGAATACCTCTTTAAAAGCAGCCATTTGCTTCTGGATCCGGTTTACAAATCGCCACTGTATTACAAGACTAAAAAGAAACAAAACATTTCATTCTTTTTTTGCATGAACCAGAAATAAATTTTAAGCCATATTTTTTCCAGTTAGCAAGAAAACATAAAGACTAAGCCCAAGGCAGATGTTGAACATGAGTGTGTGACACGGCATTGTTCCAGAAAAAGAAGATTGAGATTCTGGCCAGAGGGGGAGAGAAAAAAGGTAAGAAGACTCTTTTTGGAATAAAATACAACATTATTTTCAGTAAAATACTAATAAAATACTTACTAAATATATTCCTTTTTGTTCTTATTGGTGACAACTATTTCTGATCCACCAGTTTTCAACTCATGTTGATGTGTCTAAAATTAAACACAATCCCTTTATGTATTATTTTAGTGAGAAAAAACTTTTAAAGTATACATATTTTATCATACCAAAAACCCGGTGTTTATAAATTGATTCCAGTCAAAAGCTAAAAAGCTTAGAAACCTTAAAATATTAGTCTTACTAAATAAAAATGGAATGAGTTAGATGTCACAGAAAGAACACATTCTTGCTTATAGAAAGCTTATGTTACTAGAAAATAAATGTAAAAACAGAGCATAGAAATGTATTGAACACATGCAGTACCATCTAAACGTAAGTTACAACATTTGTTTTACAATTTATGTACCATTTTAATTGATCGAATGTCACAAACCTGTCCAAAGAGTTCTTCATCTATGACAAACCTGAGGTCCAATTCCGTTGGGTCATTTTCAAGAATCCATCTTAGGGAATTGTAATATTCACTATCCTAGAATGGGGAAGATCACATATATAACATGTTTATATATAACAAAGACACCTGAACTTGCAAAAAAAGTATGTTGAGGGGCTGAATAATTGGGAGAAAGATAAGAAGGTCAGTTGGACATCTTTCTGTACTCACACATGTATTACAAAGAGATGGACAAAAAAAAAAAAAAGAGAGATGGACGTCAGGTAAGTACAAACATAAAAATGTGCCAATTGATACAGTAGTGCCCACTTAAAAGTCCAGAAGTCTATATATGTGAGAGTGGGGGAGCGATGGGTTTTATAACCCAATTAAAGGGTTAATAAATAAAGCAGTGTTCTGATAAATCCTTACTTTCATGGATACCAGGAGCAATCTAGCACCTTTCTTTCTTTCTTTTTTTTTTGAGACAGAGTCTTACTATGTCGCCCTCAGTAGAGTGCAGTGGCGTCACAGCTCACAGCAACCGCTCACTCTTGGGCTCAAGCGATTCTCTTGCCTCAGCCTCCCAACTAGTTGGGACTATAGGTGTCTGCCACAACGCCTGGCTATTTTTTGTTGCAGTTGTCATTGTTTAGTGGGTCCAGGTTCGAACCCGCCAGCCCTGCTGTATGTGGCTGGCACCCTACCCACTGAGGGACCGGTGCTGAGCCTCTAGCACCTTTCTTACATGCCGATCAGACTGTGTGTGAAATGTTTAAGTAGCTACAAGGAGGCTGTTGTTTATTCCTGGCCCAAGTTAAAGAAAAATCTCAAATATAGCAGCTCCAACTCAATTACAGTCTTATGACTTACAAAAAAGTCATACTGTTTGCACTTACAATGTATATTAAGGAAAGAATAAAAAGTATACTTGGAACTGAGGAAGAGGTCTTAGAATCCATGCGTGCACATTGTATGGGGTTATTCAGCAGCACAGGTAGTGAATAACAAGGCTATATAGTCAGGGATTTCATCTTTGGGTTTCTGTTTCCTTGGAGGGGCCTAACCACAAGCCTTTGGACTATCATTTTTAAAATATACACCATTCATCAATGAGATCATGGTTCAAGTACTGATGCAAAAGATACGTAGCTGTTGTTCGACATATTGAAGTATTTGGGGGAAGTTCACTGATACGTACAACCTACTTTGAAATGCATGAGAAAACTAAGATGGATTGACAGATATGTGATAAAGTGACTACAGAAAAAAGCCGATGATGGATGGTAGATGCAAGTGTGAGTATAAAAATTTCAACTTTATGTATTAGGAACTTTTTGTACTAAAATGTTTAGGGAGAAAGTTCATTTGTATTTTGAAACAATTTTTTAATTTTTTATCGTTAAAAGTTAATCCTTTAAAATGTTCCAGTTGCATAAGTTACACTTGCATCACAGAAGGGAACAGGACATACCACTGATTCCATGTCGTGAAGTGTTATTGGCTTGTGCAGCATCATCTTGTAAAATGGGCGGATGAAGAAACCTTGCAAGATTTCAAATACATTTAAAGTGATTATCAAGTAAAAGAAGACAATTACATTCAGAAGTTTTATCGTCAATACTGACCATCCAACAGTTTGCCATGATAAACTGCCATGCCAGCTACCCGACCAATAAACTTGAAGTATGAGAGGTGATCCTCATTGCACAGTCCAGAGTTTGGATTTATCTGTAGGGTATAATTATCCCTGTAAAGACAACCACATTTAAATGCTCTTCTTGAAACATTTTTATACAGCAAATAATTATAAATTACCTCCCTCTTTTGGGTTGTTTACCTCTATGAGAAACACATTCAACCACTGGATTCAATGGTTTTAAAAATAGTTACTTCTATCAAAAGGTAGAAATGATCTAAATGGCCATCAATGGGTGAATTAATAAAATATATTAATAGCATATACAAATAATGGAATATTACTCAGCCTTAAAAAGGAAGGAGATTCTGACACGTTACAACATGGAGGAACCCTGAAAACATGATACAGCAAAGAAAAACCAGCCTGTCACAAAATACTGGATGAGTCCACCTAGATACTTAGAGTAGTTGAATTCATAGAGACAGAATGTAGAATAGTGGTTGCCAAGGAAAAGGGAGTTAGTGTTTACTGAGTACAGAGTTTCATTTTGGGAAGATAAAGTTCTTGAGATCGATGATGGTTGCATAACACTGTGAATGCACAATGCTAAATTTTGTCATGTAAAAAGTTACTTCTGAAACATGAGTTATGATCTTTTGCTTGCATAACATACATTTTCCTTGCCTCAAACAACTCTTTTTTATTTTTATTTTTATTTTTGAGACAGTCTCAAGCTGTTGCCCTGGGTAAAGTGTTCTGGCGTCACAGCTCACAGCAACCTCAAGCTCTTGGGCTTAAGCGATTCTCTTGCCTCAGCC